TTTTTTACATGTTCCATAATTTTACACTTTTGCCGTTTATTAACGATCCTAGAGATCGTTTATAATTTTGCATTGTTATCTGTCGCCTGCCGGTTGGTCTGTCCGTCTGTTCCTTTGTCTGTCTGTCCATCTATCTGTCCGTGTGAACGATAACTTTGTTTAGAAATGTTCGATCGCTTTTACATCTCCGTTAGTTATGAACTGAATTGCATGAAATTCAATATGGGCATAGCTTTAGCCATATAATACGCAATGCCAAAAGTTGAATCGAATCGATTCAAAATTCACAGTGCCCTTTTCGCATCTCGACCATTTATAAACCGAATTGCAAACTTTTTTACTTATAAAAGTATTTTAATGAAATTTGATACATAGGCACTTGGAATAAAGGAAAATCAAACGCCAATTTCAAAATTTGGTTTTGCGCATGCGCAGTGCCAACTTTTTTATTTATGGAAGAATTAAACGAAATTTGATACATAGGCACTTGGGATAAAGGAAAATCAAACGCCAATTTCAAAATTTGGTTTTGCGCATGCGCAGTGCCAACTTTTTTATTTATGGAAGAATTTAAACGAATTTTGATACATAGGCACTTGGGATAAAGGAAAATCAAACGCCAATTTCAAAATTTGGTTTTGCGCATGCGCAGTGCCAACTGTTTTATTTATGGAAGAATTTAAATGAAATGTGATACTTCGGCGCTTGGAACAAAGGAAAATCTAACATTAGTTTCAAAATTTAGGTTTGCGCATGCGCAGTTCCAACTTTCTTATTTAGAAAAGCATTGAAATGAATTTCTTCTCATAAACTGAAATTGAAGTAGCACGTCAAAAATGGATTGCCCATGTGCAACGCTATCTTTCATATTTGTGGCCGGATTTTTACGATTTTAATAGAAGTTGCATCTTACAATAATGGGAAATGAATGCAAGTGGAAATGCGCTTTATGTAAATCGTTTACGATTACTTTTTAACTTGTTCTTTTTACTATCAAATTTAATCCCCTAAAACAAGTACATTCTTTATTAAGTAGCATTTTTTATTACGAATACAACAATGTACGGTACACAAAAAAAACAAGTATTAATTGTGCACAACTCTTGTGCAGATAAAGCTCATTTTTTTAACCGAGATAGCTTTTGTTTTTTATTTTTTATCTCTTCAAATAACATAAAAAGAATAAAAACAAAATCGGCAAATTGGCATATCTTCGGAAGTAATCAGAACTTTTTGTTTTTTTTTTAGAGCATGATAATAACTGTTTAATGGCGCAACATTTCCCTAATTTGACCATCGTCGTTTCTTGTACGGTTTCGAAAATCCCCATTGATTATAGACATCCTTATCTTGGACACAGTGTATCAAGTAACATTTTCGGTATTGTTTTTTTAGAATAGTGGGTTTGAAATTTCACATAGCCGGTGATCTTACCTACCCTCAGTATGGATTATTAGAGAGCTAGCATCTTATGACGATAGCAATGTTGGAAAAGAAGCAACGCCATTTGTAAGCTAGCATCGCATTTTAATGATCAACATCGGTTCACACATGATCGCACTTCATACACTGACAAAATGCAAAATTAGAAAACATTTCACTCAAAATTGTATCCGAAACGATTAAAGTCACAAATTGCTTCCCTAACCCGCGTATCAAATTTTTCCCGATTTTGTAAATCGTATAAAAATCCAAATTCTTCCTTAGAGGACTCGACTTCGCGTACATCGGGAACCCTTTGGTCAATCGTTGAATAAAGGTAAATTAGCATGATTGCCATTGGAAATCCCAATATGCCGTAAGTCTTTAATTCGCTTTGTAAATCATCAAACGGAAGCAGTTTTTCTCCGTCGCAACCGAATTCCCGCATAAATGAACAGAATGTCTTGTGGTACTCCATTATTAACTCATCGTAGCGTTCTCGAGTAGCTTTGTCAGCGGCAGAAAATATGAACGTAACCAAATCTACTGCTGGAGATTCCAAACGAGAGTGTTGCCAATCGAGTATGCAGGTACTCAAAAGATCCCCAGATGTAGGCTAAAACGTCTCAATCAGTTTTAAGTATACGATGCTAGTACTTACTCACATCATACTTAAACAAGAAATTTGAAATACCACAGTCGATGTGACTAATCACTCGGTGCTTTGTTTTGGAGTTGAGCAGCTTTGTACAAACAGAACGTACGTTTTGGGTAAAATGCAAGAATTTTTCATACAGAGCAGTATCAATTATCGACTCCAATGCCTTTAAAGCGTGGTCCATTCGGTGTTGAACAACAATCATAATGCCTTCATAGCTCCAGTCCTGAAGAAAGTGGTGTACAGTATTTCGTTCAAATTCTTCGAAGAGGACTGGCTTGTAGTGCCTTATCACGTAGGAGAGGGCATGCAACCGTGCGTATTCCTTAACTACGAGTAATAAATGCGGGTAATCCATAGGTTGAGATCGATCGTAATGCCTATAGCTTAGCGCCTTTACGTTTTGTAGTACTATCATTTTGTCGTGTGTTGTTGACAAAGATGCATAGTAAACTGGGAAGCAATCGAAAGGTGCTTTAATGTTATACTCCCGTTGAATTATATTGAACTCTTGAAATATTTTCGAGTACACATATATCTCAATTAGAAAGGAAGGTTGCACTGGGAGCAGGTTTTGAAGAATTTCACTTGACGGAACACACTTTAAAATGTAATGGGAAGTGGATTCTTCATTTTCACTGGTCCACACTACATCGGCTTTTATTATAACTCCACATAAATTTTCACCGGCTTCTACTCCCGATGATAATGATATAGAAAAGTTACCAACGCCGGATCGCTTCAAAAATCCGTTAAATGCCATTTGCTGGTTTTCTGTTAGAACTATTGCATGGTTATTCTTGGACATCGTTGAAAAGTAGCGACCACAATAAATTTTCAAGTTTCTGTTATGTCCAAATTGTCAGCGTTTCCTTATTGCGCCCTGATGTTTCATGTGTATTGTATATACCCGGTTTAAAAAGAATACACTTACCTAGATATATATATTGAGAAGTGATGATTTTTTGACTGTCTAGACCAACGTTTAAATGTAAACACACTAACGTAAAGAATCCAAATTAAACTATATACCTAATACTAAAGATAAGCAGAGTACTTTGTTATTACTGATACTACGATAATCATAAATGCTCTTATATAGATTATGAGTGATTCCTTTGTCAATCAAAGAAATAATTTTATTAGGATTAGGACACACATTCTGCTTATTTACATTGCTGTCGTGTTTTTGAATGTAGTTTCGACATACTGATTTTCAAGAAACTGAAAGACAAAAATAGACCTCGCTGGACCTAGCCCCGCCCCCCCCCCCAATCTGCCCCATTGTGAATCAATTTAAGAATGGTATCCAATTAATGAGCTATTTAGGAGCTTTTCATATCGCAAGTTTAAAATTTTATAGCAAATAGATATAATCGATGGGGCGGCAAGTTCCACTTGGACGTAGTCCCTAATCTGTTTTTTCTTTATATAACAAATTAACCTTTTCCATGTAAATAATAAATAATGTAAATAATGGATTGCCATCTCATTATGCCCTCAAACGGCCTGCCAAATATATTGATGGAGTTATATTGTGTAATAAAAAAAGATGCTACTTGATTTGTATGAAGCAGTTTAATGTTGGCCAAACAATAATCATTACATTTGTATATTGGAAATTCATTATTCAGTGGCAAGGTATATACGATATTTTTCGTACTTCCGAAACTGAAACACTTAATATGTATGGAGTTAGAGAACGCGTTCTTTAAAAAAATCGCTTCTTAACAAGTTACCATAGGAACGTTGCGTTGGTACGACAATCCCTATGCTATGGTAACAAAAATAATTTGGAAACTGTCATTGCTAGTGTCATAATTTTGGTGGTGGGCGACAAAGGTGTATTTAATATTGATAACAAGCAGCCAAAGTAGGTAAAGAATTGATACCACCGAAATCCAAAAAACTATATGAGCAACAGTACGATGCGTTTAAGAAGTAGTGCCGCATACAAAATGTGGAACAACCTACCGAAATTGCCTTGTTAGTAATTTCATCCTTCCGGGATTTTCGTCCAAATTTAATCCCGGCGGGACAAAAAGTGACACTTCAGTACTTGTCATAATGGAGTGAAGTTGTCCCTTTAGTCTCGGAAGTACGAAAAATGTTGTATGCACCTCAGGTATTACTCGATATTTAACCCTCTAGTGATTTACATCTCTCGAGCTCTGTCGCCCTCGGCATAAATATCGCCTTAATGCCCTTGATGCATAATAGTTATTTGTGTATCACCCCGGCCCGAGGGATTGTAAGTTGCCCATTTCAAACTTGAGGATCGGAAGACTGTTTCCAAATTAATTAGCAAAGACTCCTTTTTAAAAACTTTGGACCTAAAGGATGCCTATATGTTAATCCCAATTAGTAAACCACATAGAAAATAATTGAGATTTATGTATAAGAGAAAAATATATGAATATAATTGTTTTCGTACTTCCGAGACTAAAGTGACAACTTCACTCCATTATGACAAGTACTGAAGTGTCACTTTTTGTCCCGCCGGGATAAAATTTTACGAAAATCCCGGAAGGATGAAATTACTAAAAAAGCAATTTCAGTAGGTTGATCCACATTTTGTATGCGGCACTACTTCTTAAACGCATCGTACTGCTGTTCATATAGTTATTTGGATTTCGGTGGTATCAATTCTTTACCTACTTTGGCTGCTTTTTACCAATATCAAATACACCTTTGTCACCCACCACCAAAATTATGACACTAGCAATGACAGTTCCTATGGTAACTTGTTGAGCAGCGATTTTTTGAAAGAACGCGTTCTCTAACTCCTTGTGACTGAAGTAGTGGTCTTAATCCCTCAGGTAAATTATAAACTTTACCTTCGGGATTAAAAGTACTACTTCAGTCCCGCGGTATATAATATACTATTACAAATTGGATTGAATTCGATTCCTTTAGTTTTTACAAAATTAATGACGACTTTTTATTAATTGGGTGTACTTATAACGAGTGTCTCAAAAATATTCAAGTAACAATTGATAAGTATATTAAAAAGGCTGGGGTATGTTATATATGTAAAGAAATTTTTTTCGAGAATGGCATTTGTGCTTTTTCTTCGATCAAAATCTGAGGTCCTAAACTGCTTCAAAAAGTTCAATCATATGAAGGTTTTGTGTACAGACAAAGGGAACGAGTTTTGTGGTGGTGAGTTCACCAGATTTCTGGAAAGCAAATAGAATCGTGTAACCGACTACCAACGCAGATTGTCCGCAGTAAAAAGGTATTTCCGAGTGCATGAACAGATCTATCATAGAAAAAGCAAAATGCTCGCTCTTTGACGCACACATTAGCAAGTGCTTTTGGGCAGAAGCCCTCAACAAGGCCGTTTATCTGAGAAATAGATATCCACCGACTGGAATCAAGTGCACACCATATGAGCTCTGATATGGAAAGCAACCTGGGCTAAGACACATATGAGTTTCGATTTGAATGTAATGGTGGATGTGTCAAAACAAAAAGACAACAGACGCAGAAGAAGATTCCGATTGGATACTCGGATTATCAGCATTAGTAGAGACGTCATCATAATGCGGACCATCTATACAATCTGCCAAGTGAAGAGAACGTCGGCAGCGTAACTACGGAGTCAAATGCTCCAGTGGAGGCTGATCCGCAGCCTTATGTAGTTCCTGACGCAGCTGATGACAAAGACGATTCAGCTTCCACCTTGTCTTGGGAGATAAATGGGGTATTAACTGTCAGGTGTTATTAGAAAACTTCCTGAAAACGCGCAAAGCCATCGTTAGCAGTGGGAGTAGATTAATACGGTCCATACAGAATGATCAAACTCGAAATGTATCTTCAAAACTCGATAACGCGGAAACCATTGGGTTTAAGTACATTATGCTTCTTACAAATGTTGCTTAAAATTGAGAGAACAATTGAATATCGAATTATACACAGGGGGTTTTATTTAAAAAAATGAAATTTTGATGTGCGACCCCGTTATGAGCAACACTGTACAATTAAAATTATTCCTGATTAGCAGACATTGAAAACCTTAAAACTTGTGTATAACACTTTTTTTGATATCTTGTATCTTTTCCCCGATAATCGACAGCGACCCTGTATTAGTATATTTATATACCTATTGCTACTAAGACAGGAGCTACTTTCTGACCCCATTACTGATATGTAATGTAATGATGAAATGATAACAAAAAAAATAAACAAATAAATAAATAAATATGTTTTGAGCTTATTCAAATAATGAGTTAATTAAATTAGATGAAATGTGAGTGCTTTAAAATCATGTAAGCAATACTTGTATACTTAGATTAGAGTTACTCAAATAGAAGCTCCCATCCCTCGTTGGCACTGGCACAATTTTTAGCGAATTTTTAAAAAGAAATACACTATTCTATTCGTTATAGCTGGCTGGCCGGCTGTCCGGCTTCGACAAGAAAAAATTAGACATTTTTCCTACATAGTGAAAACATTAACAATTTCAATAAATCCAACCTAACAGATGTCTCTATAAAAAATATAGCAAACGAGCTCCTCGGTATAGCATTGCATATTACATGACTAAAACTATGCTAATTTTGAATTTCATGCTGCAATTCGATTCTTAACTAACGGAGGTGTCAAAAGGGTCTTCCTTATTTTTTGGCCTACAATGACAATTTACGAACTCCGATCTACAAATTTGATAAAGAATCTACCTGCAAAATTTCATCGTAATCGGTCCATTCGTTTTCGAAATATCGTGCTAACGGACAGACGGACAGACACCGTAATATTATGAACTCGCTAGAAGCTCGTTAATAAACGGCAAAAGTGCATAATTATGGTACCTACACGAAAAAATGACTTTTAGCGCATTTTTGAAAAAAAATACGTTATTATGTTCGTTATGGCTGGCTGGCTGGCTGTCCGGCTGAGATTTCGGCAATTACAATAGCTAGAGACTTCAAATTTTCACTAAAATCTTTCTGCTATAGTGTAGATGTGCAGGCTCTAGACTATTTTGAGTTAAATTACTTGTGAGATCGATAATTTTAAACTTTACTAATAAAATACTGATCTCTGTATTACCAATGCGCTTTCATCATGCATATGCTGATTTATAACTTGTTTTAATTGGACATCAATTACGGCTGTACCATGTCAATCCCATCACAATTTTTAAAGCAAACAAATACGAAATGATACCATCACCTGGTACTTATGGGTCAGCACATTTGATTTCGATTTTCACAGAACTACTTGAATCACCTGCAGTAAAGAAATATGTGGCAGCTCAACAAGACATCGGATCTATAAGCGGGTTATATGGTCTTACAAAAGGAAAGCGACACTCCTTCCCTGTCTTGGTCAATGTGTCGTGTAGTAGAATCCGGGAGCAGTATTGTTAGTGCGAAACGTGTAGTCACTAAGATACCAATTGTACCGATTTCCAGTAAAGACGATGATGGTAAGAGTTATACCACACAGGAAACAGCAACAAGCAATATTCCAGAATCAGTTATTTCTATACTTTAAACGTCTGGGGGTCGATTTTTGAAACCAGTCGCATCTATTCGTATACGCTTAGATGCGAAGACTTTAAAAACGTATACGTTTGCTTGGAACCGAAACGTACAGTGCATATGACAACGTCGCCTTTGTTGCGTGATTAGAACTAAAGCGGACTATTTGACGTTTGGGTTTGAGCTTATGTAGCTGGTTAGGTGAAGATATTGCTCAGTCATTTCAAATTAAGGAATAATAATATTTTAGGCACTGATTAGCATGAATACTCAAAACACGATGGACACGCCAAAGGGAGGGTGCAATACCACGCAAAACCAAAAAAGGTGGCTTGTGGAGTTTGCTAAAGAACACCCCGATATAATAGCAGGGAAAAAAGTAGCTGATACATTTTGATAAATTGTGCTTCATTTAAGACTTCTATGGGGTTGCAAGGATTACGGTTCCTATTCGGGCGATAATTGCGTTCGGCATTCTCTAAATTGTCTATTACAAACACATTCACAGCTTCATCCATTGTTGTAAGTAGATACCTCTCAAGAGTCAAAACTTCAACACTAACCAATACCTACATAACCCACAAAACGAGCGTTTGCGACGCCATTTACCCGCTTGCAGAAAAACGAATACAATTGAACGTATACGCAATATAAACGTATGGTCAAAAATTGCAAATATACGCTTCTTTACGAATACGTAGACGTTTTAAGGAAACGTATGGCCAAAAATCGACCCCCTGTGGTCGTAATCTTGTATATTATGATATGAAAGGAGAAATCATGGGGATGTCTTGTACCGAGTGATTCATTAGAAGTGCTAGTCGTTTAAATTTCGCGCGTAAGGTTTTAGTATTTTTTGTATTATTAAATTGACGGTTTGAATTTCGTTAGTAATTTTTTTCTGTCATGACTGTCATTTAAGAAACCAGTGTCGCCGTTAATTGTTGTGTGCCATTTGCGGTTTATTACTTTTTCCATTTTGAATAATTTTTGGAGTTGATACACTAAAATATGTAAGAAACGTGACTGTGTCTAGTGTTAGTTTATAATTTGTGGTAAAACAGAAGCAGTATTTGTAGATTATAAATAAGTAAACGATTTACTGAAAGCATGATGATACACCACTGCAATTAAATAAATGATCATCAGTTCATAATTTTTTTGATTTGCCGGAAGTTCAAACTGTCCTCATTTCTAATGAATCACTCGGTACATTTTCTAATTTATGTTTTCAGGGTTAACGCATGTTGTCTATTGACCTTACTACCGCCAACGAGTACGGTACTCTTTGCTACAGCCTACCACGTGCGCAATCATATATCAAGAACACTTTTCTTATACTAATTATATAAATATGCATTGCATAACACCTTATGCTATGCATTCGCCCGACTAGATTCACGCAAAGTTTTTAGTTTATCCTCATCTTTGGCACACACTACTTCTAATTTAACAGCAAGTTTATCGAAGCTTTAACAATAAAATTTTAAGTAAGACCTCATACGGCATATGGGCTCTAATGACAATGTCGTTTATAAACTAGTCAACCTGTCCATGATTGGGAAACCTAAAATTTCACTCAAAATTGTAACCGAAACGATTAAAATCGCAAATTGCTTCCCGAACCCTTATATCAAATTGGGAACGGTCTTGCAAATCGTACAAAAATCCAAATTCTTCCTTAGGGCACTCGGTATGGAGTATATCCGGAACCTTTTGGTCGACTGTCGCATAAACATAAATTAATAAGATTCCCATCATAAGACCAAGTAAACCGAATTTCTTTAATTCTCCTTGTAAATCTTCAAACGGAAGCAACTTTTTTCCATCACACCCAAATTCCACCAAAAATGAACAAAACGTCTTGTGATACTCCATTATTAACTCATCGTAACGTTCCCGAGTAGCTTTGTCGGCAGCGGAAAATATAAACGTAACCAAATCTACTGCCGGAGAGTCCATACGAGTGTGTTGCCAATCGAGTATGCAGGTACTCAAAAGATCACCAGATGTAGGCTAAAACGTCTCAATCAGTGTACCCACGATACCGGTACTTACTCACATCATACTTAAACAACAAATTTGGAATACCGCAGTCGATGTGACTAATCACTCGGTGCTTCTTTTTGGAGTTGAGCAGCTTTGTAAAAATGGAACGTACGTTTTGGGAAAAATGTAAGAATTTTTCATACAGAACAGTATCATCAATTGACGCCAGTGCCTTTGAAGCGTGGCCCATTCGATGTTGAGTAACCATCACAATGGCTTCATAACTCCAGTCCTGGAAAAAGTGGTGTTCAGTATTTCTTGCAAATTCTTCGAAAAGGTCTGGCTTGTAGAGCCTTATCACGTAGGACAAGGCATGCAACCGTGCGTATTCCTTAACCACGAGTAACAAATGCGGGTAATCCATAGGTTGAGATCGATCGTAATGCCGATAATTTAGCGACTTTACGTTTTGTAATACTATCGTTTCGTCATGATCTGTTGCCAAAGATGCGTAGTAAACTGGGACGCAAACGAAAGGCGTTCTAATGTTATACTCCCGTTGAATTATATTAAACTCTTGAAATATTTTCGAGTACACATATATCTCAATTAGAAAGCAACGTTGCACAGGTATCATGCTTTGAAGAATTCCACTTGGCGGAGTGCACTTTAGAATGTAATGGGACGTTGATTCTTCATTTCCACTGGTCCACACTACATCAGCTTTTATTATAATTCCACCGAAATTTTCACCGACTTCTACTCCCGGTGATAGTGATAGCGAAAAGTTCCCAACGCCGGCTTGCTTCAAAAATCCGTGAAGTACCATTTGTTGGTTTTCTTTTAGAACTATTGTATGGTTAATCTTGGGCATCTTTGAACAGTAGCGACTACAATTGTCCAAAGTGTAAGCGTTTCCTTATTGTCCCTGATGAATATGTATTTAGTATATCCGGTTTAAAAGATAGATATTCAAAAGTGATGCTTTTTTGACTGTCTAGAGTTCTAAACCAACGCTGTGGAAAAATCGTATTAGTTAAGGTAGAATACAGTGTTACGTATGGGTATATGGGAATAACGTATAAGAATACGAATTATAGGTACCTTACCTAATAGTACGGATAAGTGCGGTAGGGATACTACGATTATCATAAATGCTCCTTTCCCTAAAAATAGACAACGAGTACTGTACCGTTTTAGAACGTGAGTTCCACTGGTCCACATAAACACTACGCGCTGAGTGTCAAGGAGATAAAAAGATAAAAATAGCATGCAATCAAGTTCAATTTTTTCGTTCTACACTATCATAGAGTAAATTGTTTACTCTATGACACTATACAATTGTAAATGACCTGATGGGTAGACAATTTTTATTTTTTTCACGATAAGGTGTTTTTGACATCTGAAAATCATGAAAGAATAACTTGTAAATCGTTTATCAGATAACTATGTACCTCCTACTTCGATTATTACGTACCTAATTGCAGAACAACAACAAATGGAATCATTAATAGTACATTGATCTACAAATTTAGAAAAGTGTTAGTTTTCTAGTGAGTGTAAATGTTTGAATTCACGAGTGAGCGCAGCTCACGAGTGGATCAAATTTGCACGAGCATAGAAATTCACTTTTCTTAGGTGTAGATCATGCTATTTTTTCGTGTAGTTGATAACTCTAATTGTAACGTTTTGTTTTGATGTCGAAGAATAATTTATTATAAAATCAAAGTATGTTGAGCATTTGTTGACATGGTAACAAAACATACGAACAAGTAAATAATTTGTGAATAACGCTCATTTAAATTAAGTCAATCAAACGGGAACAATGAAGAAATTTTACAATTGGTATTAGAAGCAGAATCAAGTTTATTACCTAAAAAGTCCAAAGTCAAGTACTTTGGCTGCTTGTTATCAATATTAAATACACCTTTGTCGCCCACCACCAAAATTATGACACTAGCAACGACAGTTTCCAAATTATTTTTGTTACCATAGCATAGGGATTGTCGTACCAACGCAACGTTCCTATGGTAACTTGTTAAGAAGCTATTTTTTGAAAGAACTCGTTCTCTAACTCCATACATATTAAGTGTTTCAGTTTCGGAAGTACGAAAAATATCGTATATACCTTGCCACTGAAGTAGTGGTCTTAATCCCTCAGGTAAATTATGGCCCTCCCTTCGGTCCGGCCATAAACTTTACTTTCGGGATTAAAAGTACTACTTCAGTCCCGCGGTATGTAATATACTATTATTTTTCATTTGCCTATTATATGTCAATTATATCTGTCATATGTGATATATGAAGCAGTCTATTACGCCCAAGGGCATAATGACAGGGCATAATGGATTGTCATCTCATTATGCCCTCAAACGACCTGTCAAATTGATTGACGGAGTTATATTATGTAATAAAAAAGATGGAACTTGATTCGTATGAAGCACTTTAATGTTGGGCAAACAATAATCATGACATTTGATATTGGAAATGCATTCTTTGTAACGATGAAAAATAAAATGTTGTATGCACCTCAGGCATTACTTAATATTTAACCCTCGGGCGACTTACAATCCCTCGGGCCGGAGGCCCTCGGGCTCTGTCGCCCTCGGCATAAATATCGCCTTAATGCCCTTAATGCATAATAGTTATTTATGTATTAAGGGCATAATAGTGATGTTTATATTCTCGAGGGCGACGAGTTAAAAAGCTCGAGGGCCTATGAGCTTTTTAGTCGCCCGAGAGTATAAACATCAGTTTATGCCCGTGGTGCATACACAATTTAATGTTTTACAAATAGTTTTCTTCGACAAAGTAAATATTCGTTTACAAAATAATTCATTATTTCGCAGTAGAGAATTTGGGACCTTGGTGCAGAGAGGCTCGTAATTTTGTGGAGTGTTTAGGAAAACGTATTGCCAGTATTACTGGAGAACCTCGAGCTACTAGTTATTTAATACAAAAAATCAGTATTGCTATACAACGTGGCAATGCAGCAAGTGTAATGGGGACGCTTCCAACTGCGATCCCCATGGAAGAAATTTATTATTTGTTATGAATATTTTATCTTTAAAAATTTTTAACTTTGTAATTATATTGTATATTATACCTGTTGTACTACTAAAAATAAAATATTTTATGTTTGATTAAGTATGCGTGGTTCGAAATTGTTCATGTGATTGAAACCATCCAAACGTCAAACGTAATTTGAAATAATTCAATTCATCGTGAATGAGCAAGAAATTCCAGAAACTATACGAAATAAGGCCAATCTTTAGTAGGTATTGACAATTAATAATTGACGTTTCTAATTTTCAATGACCTGCAAATATTTGTTTGTTTTCTCATTAAGTATAAATGAGTTACTATGGTGATACTTAATGCCCTAGGGCATAAAGTGGTATACTTTATGCCCGCGTATCACAGATATAAAATGTGCTATGATAGGTTAGTAAGACATAAAAAGTTTTAATCCCTCATTCTTGTTTTCTTGTAAAACATTTAGAAAGTATTCATTTTCTTTATTTTCAGAACAGGTAATATGAAAAGCACAATTTAGAAAGGGCCTTAGTGTACATCCAGCTCTTCCTATATAATGCCAAATAACTGAGTTCTTCTCCGCCTCAACAATGGTAAAAACTGTTGACTTTTAGTCTGGAATACTAACTACCAGCATCGATTCTCCAACTTCTATGTAGTCTACGTTCATTTTTAAAAATTCCTCTGATCTGCAAGCTGCAACTTCCTCCAATATCCATAATTGTCACAATCTACAACCACAAACTTTGGAAGCATGCGCATGCAATGTTTTACACAAACTAACTAAATTTGACGTTTTGTCAAATTTCCACTAATCATATGTCTTAATCCATTGCGTTAATTTAAACGAAGTTTAAACTGCGTTTGTGCAACCGGCCCTAAAAAGCCTACCTTACTTTTTCATAGTTTTTATAGCATATTAATTTTGAAATGGATTAAGATCGGTCGGTATTGGAAAAAATAGTATAAGTAACACTGGATTAAACTAGTTTTTGTTCCCTCAAGAATATTAAACCATTCTTTCAGGAACAAAATAACTCTTTTTAATCCCTTGTTACTTAATATACTATTATTTTATTTTTTGCTGTATTTTTAATTAATCAGTATACCTGGTCTAGGAAAGTTTACCGAAAACAGTTAACCGAAAACAGTTTACCGAAAAACAATTCACCGAAATCGCAATATAGCGAAAGAACAATACGTCGAATTTCAATTTACCGAAAAGCAGTTTTACCGAATCACACTTTACCGAAAGGAGAGTTTACCGAAAATTTCTTCCGTTTTGAAAAAAAATGAAATACTAAACCAAGGAGACTCACCCCTTCTAATTATCTCGTAAACGGTGCATAATCAAGTTGAAACTTTCACATTAATTTATCGTTTAGGACATAATTAGCTAATATTGTAAGATCGTGGTCTTCATTTGTTTGACCCACATTGTCAATTCACGAACTCAGATCTACAAATTTGATAAAGAATCCACCTACAAAATGTTATTGTAATCGGACCGTTCGTTTTCGAGATATCGTGCTAACGGACAGACAGGCAGATGAACAAACATTGCAAAATTAGGAACTGGCTAGGACCACCTGAACTGTCAACAGTTTGCAAATTGGGCGTAAGATCGTTTGGTTGAGGATGGCGAATTTTACAAAAAAAAAACATCTTTTCAGGCGAGCACATTTCCACCTCGATGGTTATGTTAATATTCGGTAAACTTTCCTTTCGGTAAAGTGTGATTCGGTAAAACTGCTTTTCGGTCAATTGAAATGCGACGTATTGTTCTTTCGGTATATTGCCGTTTCGGTAAATTGTTTTTCGGTAAACTGTTTTCGGTTAACTGTTTTCGGTAAACTATTTTCGGTAAACTTTCCGGGAGCGCTCTATTATAGGTACCTACAAATATGTATGCCCAAATCGGACTCTTGACACAGGGACAGCATATTTGGAACATTTATATATTCAAAAAATGTTTCCTATTTTGCACATCGCGCGCAATAGCGTAATGACAATAAACATCAAATTCCATATAATTATATAAACGACACCATGCTTTAAACAATAATGTGAGTCAAATTAACAAGTTTCTCAGGTAGTTTAGACCTTGGAGTAATAAAATGTAAATTATTATTCTTAACGCTCGTGATCGTGCAATTAGATATGATTACTTTTATTGTTACAATTACGAAACAAATATGGGCGGATAATTAATATGCAGCAAATTTAATTAAAACCAAACATTTCCAAAAACAAAAGATAATGTGGGAAACTCTTTTTGGCTCTCTTTTGAAAAAAGGAACTCTACTGTTTGTTAAAATATAAACAAAACAAAATGTCACAAATTGTCTTTTTGGCAGTGTTTGATTTTAATTTGAAATTCGCCCTTACCTCTTTCACATTTGTTTTTTCATTGAAATAAGAGCTGGACCCAGTTTTACAATAACAGTAATCGTTTACCGATTAGTTTTTCTGCTATATAATAAAAGCTCGTGTGATCGAAAAAGAAACCTCTATTTCTGAGCTGTTTTATATAGTTGTGGCGAGCATGATTCGTGCAATAGCGCATACTATTATTTTCTGCTCTTCATGGAAATGAGAAAGGAAGTTACTCGCAATATCATTACAATATGTAGAAAAACAAAATTTAAATCAGTCCATAGAACACCAACGTTGTTCATTTAACGTAACGCAACCTTTACATTCAAAAAGTTATTTATAGGTATGTAAATCCTCCTCGATCTCGAATACGATCTACATTTTTTATGTTAATTAAATTGCGGCACCCCCTGGTGCAACCCCTGCGCATCCCCGTGGAATTATAAGGGCAAATCTGGGCTCGGCTTTCTTGGAACGGTTAATTCCCCCTCCCCCCCCCTGCACCACTCGTAACACCGTAGCGCCACGGGAAATTTTGAAAGTATACCTGGACTTGGTGACCACGAAAATTCTTGATTAAAGATTTCCAAGCGATTTCCGAGGCGATTTCTCTATCTTTTAATATACATGACGATAAAGGGATATTTTAACGATTGAGTGAAACGAAATCGTCCTGTACCGGGTGATTCAAAGGTAGTGCGGTCACTTTGAATTTCCCGCAAAACAAACAATTTTTAAAGATAGTAACAAGTCAAATGCCATTCACTTAAAAGCAGTGCAGATTTAATGGGCGATTTAAAGACCATTCATTGGTTAAAATTGGTTAAGAAATTTGGCTTACCACCTTTACGCCTACTGGACTAGGACTTCCCCCATCTTAACCACCCAATAATAGTTACCAGTACCTAGTGTTGAAAGGGATACTTTATCACCTCTTCTACGATAACATTTTGAAGTTCTTCAAGAGTGTGCAAGCGTTTCAAAAAATGTTATTCTTTAATGTGGGATACAGAAAAAAATCTAGTGGGGTTAAATCTGCGGCTGGATCTCTACTTTTTAAAAAATCATCGTAAAATTGATGTAGATCCTGAAGAGTGGCGTTTACTCTATGGGCTACTGCACCATCTTGCTGAAAATATCCTTGTCTTAGTTCGTCACATGAAGTTGATTCAGGAACGTATATTTCAGTACGGCACCTTACTGAAGTAACGGTATTGTTGAAAAAAATTGGGCCTGTGATACGTCTCCCAGATATGCCAACCCGAATACCAATCTGCAAACAACTGGTTTTTTCAAAATTATGAGGGTTTTCGGTTGCCCACATGGGGTTTTTGACAATAACAAGATAGTAAAGTCGGTAACATGAATGAATATTAATAACGGATTCGTGCTTATATTAATAAGTTTTACATCGTTGCCGTTCTAACATCTAAAATTTCTGCTAAGACGTATGTGCGTTTCTTTACGTTGGAGGCACCTTACTTTTATCGGTGGTTGAGCAGGCATCGTGTTATAGTTTGTTGGGTTTGTGGTACTTAATGCAGGTACTAATCTTTGCATTTGTTTATAATTTTTTGTGTTGTGTATTCAACCTCAATCTGTCACGTGTAGGAGAAATGCCGTTAGTTTTTATTGTTTTGAATTTTTTTATTTTTGATGTAAATGTTACTCAATGTACATGGTATTGACCTGAAGTTAAATTTATAAATTCTAGTCATTTGTTTAAATATGTGGAAGTTGTGTGTACTGACTCGTTGGACGAGGGACAAGTTACCTATCTCGGTGGCGAGCGAGATACTGATAAAAACTCTTCGGTTTAGAATCTGTGTGCGATATGTGAGTTAAATAAATAAGAATCACTGTCTTTCCCAAATTTCTTTTAAATTTTTAGATACTACACCCCAAATACAAGAATATGGATCACCCAGCCATGAATTTCATGGGCATCAATTTATTAGTACCATCTATCGCGTGCGCAATCATATTGTCTAAACGGTTTTTCATTCAAGATCCATTTTTTTTAATTTTCTTTTCTATTTCATTACCTTTATTTTGTAGTGAGTTGAGTGTCAGCTAATTAATTATCAGCTTCTCTTCCCACTCAACCCAATCACAATCACAAACAGCTATTCCTTAACTGGGGATTCGAACCCATCTTTTGCACACACTACTTCGAGATACATTTGGGGTATATTTTTGAGGGTGGGCTGATGAAGAGAATCAAAAATAAAAGGCATGTTATCTCAATACTGTTTTTATTTAAAAAAAAACACATAGACATTATACCGAGACCTTAGCAATGTAGGTACCTTTTCCTTTGGGACAACCTTCCTTACCAACAACAAGAAATTGAAAATTTGGACTAAATACAATATTTACAAGAAGAATTTTTCAGAAAGAGCCCATATGAAATATGCCTCTTTCAGAGCTAGTAGATTAATTGGCAACCTAAAATTTCACTCAAAATTGTAACCTAAACAATTAAAATCGCAAATTGCTTCGCGGACTCTTTTATCAAATTTGGAACGGTCGTGCAATTCGTACAAAAATCCAAATTCTTCCTTAGGGCACTCGGTCTGGAATATTTCCGGAACCTTTTGGTCGACCGTCGCGTAAATGTAAATCAACAAGATTCCCGTTATAAGACCAAGTAACCCGAATTCCTTTAAATCACCTTGTAAATCTTCAAACGGAAGCAACTTGTTTCCGTCACACCCAAATTCTCCGAGAAATGAACAAAACGTGTGTTATTAACTCATCGTAACGTTCTCGGGTAGCTTTGTCGGCAGCGGAAAATATAAATGTAACCAAATCTACCGCTGGAGACTCCAAACGTGCTTGTTGCCAGTCAATTATGCAGGTACTCAAAAGTTCACCAGAGGTTCGCTAAAACGTCTCAATTAGTTTTAAGTGTACGATACCAGTTAGTAGTTACTCACATCATACTTAAACAAAAAATTTGGAATACCACAGTCGATGTGACTAATCACTCGATGCTTCTTTTTGGAGTTGAGCAGCTTTTCAAAAACAGAACGTACATCTTGAGCAAAGCATGCGAATTTTTTATACAAATTGGTATCCTCAATCGACTCCAGTGCCTTTACCTAAAGCGTGATCCATTCGATGTTGAATAATCATCAAAACGGCTTCGTATTTGAAATCGTGAAAGACGTTGTTTGCTTCGAATTCTTCGAATAGAACTGGTTTGTAGTGCCGTATCGCATAGGTCAAAGCGTGCACACGTGCATACTCCTTTACTACACATAGCAGGTGTGGATAGTAGCGAGGTTGCGGACAGCATTTTACGTTATGTTAGACGGCCATTTTTCCTTATAATATAAGTTTATAAGTATAAAACATTTTTATAGCAAAGTTAAGTTGCGGTGTGTGCTGGGCGTGTTCAATTTTGCTTATAAGTTTGAAGGAGTCTTAACCTCACTTTTATTTTACATTGTGTTAAAATGTCCAAAGTTCACTACTATGCTCTTAGACAAAAAGAAAAGAACTACCGCCAACATAAACACTGCACAATTGTAGGTTAGCAGGAAAATGTTATTTATGAGTGATTACGTACTGCGCAGTGACACATTATAAGAACTTCATTTTCATTGGTTCCGCTATTTATAAATATATCGTACAAAAAGCCCTCATACCGTAAATTATTTCTACTAAAATTTATATTTCTTATGTTATAAGAAAAAATGGCCGTCTAACATAACGGAAAATGCTGTCCGCAACCTGGCTAGTCTAGAGGTTGAAATCGATCGTAATGCCTATATCCTAGTTCCTTTACGTTTTGCAATACTATCATTTGTTCTTTTGGGGTGGATAAAGACGTATAGTAAACTGGGAAACAATCCAACGGTTTTCTGATGTTATATTCCCGTTGAATTATATTGAACTCCTTAAGTACTCTCGAATACACGTATGTTTCAATTATGAAGGCGGTTTGCACGGGTATTAGCCTTTGTTAAGATTCACTTGGTGGAGTACACTTTATAATGTAATGACAGGTTGATTCCTTATTTCCCTCCTTCCACTTTACATCGGTCTTTATTATAATTCCACAGAAATTTTCACCCTCGTCTACTCCCGATGAAAAGGATATACAATAATCGCCCGCTTGTCCCAGAAATTCTTTAAGCGCCTTTAACTGGTTTTCGGTTAAAACCATTGTAGGGCTACTACTGGACATAGTTGAACAACAACAGCCACAATGTTCAATCTTCACTTATATCATATGTGGCAATGCTTCCTTTTTTCACTTAAAGTTTTAAATCTGTAGGGTATGTTCAAGTTTAGAAGGTAAGTCACTTACCCAGAGTTTTGCCAGTTTTTGCATACTTGGAAGTTATACTTTATCACTTAGGTATGTCGACTAAGAAACTACTATTGCAATTTAAGTGGATTATTGATACCTACATGATTGATAAGAAAAGTATTAATCTGAATGTTTACTTATGCCATAGTATGTAGACAACACAAACTAGTTGCTGCTATGTTTAGCACAGACAATAAGCGGAGGCCTACTTTAGTACTGCGCCCTTCAGTATTTAGTACAAATAAAGCTACTGCTTATCATTCTAGATATTTGTATTTGTTATCTAAACATAAATTTTTAGGTGTGTGTTTTTAATATGTTAATGGTTGGATACCAGAAATCAACTAATCAAGCCCATCGATCGATCATACTCATTTTACAACATGTTTTATTTATAAAGGCATCCCCAAACTAGAATAGTATCTGTTGCAACATTGGTTACGTTCCCATTATTGTAAACTACTTACGATACGACGTGGCCCTTCGAACTGTCGTTTCAGTTTTCCACCAACTTTGTACAGTTTGACAGGTGATGGCCTGAGATGGTGCTCCCGTGAAAAGTCTCTTCCCTTTGGGAAGTGGTTCCTGCTTCCGGAACATTGACATGTTTATAGTAAAACAAGTTTATGTTTCGTTCGGAAACATCTCAATTTGTGGAAAAGTAAATATTTGGCGCCATTTCCGCCGATATATGACAAATCACGTTTCTACCATATCAGATCTCATTTTTTTCCTTACTATTGTGTCACTTGGCCCCAAAAACGTATGTCCCCATATCAGAATCCTAAAATTCACAGCATTCTGAACAAGTTAAAAAGTAATCGTAAACGATTTACATAAAGCGCATTTCCACTTGTATTCATTTCCCATTTATAAGATGCAACTTCTGTTAAAATCGTAAAAATCCGGCCACAAATATAAAAGATAGCGTTGCACATGGGCAATCCATTTTTGACGTGTTACTTCAATTTCAGTTTATGAGAAGAATTTCATTTCAATGCTTTTCTAAATAAGAAAGTTTGAACTGCGCATGCGCAAACCTAAATTTTTAAACTAATGTTAGATTTTCCTTTGTTCCAAGCGCCTAAGTATCAAATTTCACTTAAATGGTGCCATAGATAAAAAAGTTGGCACTGCGCATGCGCAAAA